ATTGGATGTTCTCCTTCATCAGCCCATGCATAAAGTTGCCATAGTTAACCTATTAAGCAGAGTAGAACATAGGAAAAATTGTCAGTAAGCCCAAAGTTGCCATATATAATATAAAACATCTTTCCATTGAAAAAGAAATTAGCAGAAACATTGAAGAATTGAAACAATAACAAAACAACGTAAGAAAAAAAAAAAGAGAGATTACTCCGTGTTGGCGAGTGCCAGCATTGATGCGCTGGATCCAGAGGGCACGCATGTCACGCTTCTTGTTGCGACGATCTCTATACGAATACTGCAAGGCCTTCTCAACCCTCTCTCTTGCTATCCTTATGCAGTTCTTTGCTCTTCCCCTGAACCCCTTTGCGAGCTTAAATATCTCCTTCTTATTCATCTTCTCTCTCCCAGATAATGTCTGTTTTTGCTACTCTCATAGCATTTCAAAGCAAAACGGCTAAGCCATCACTATGTCATATCTAATTATCCATGAATCGCAAAGAAAACATAAAAATGATACACAGGAGGATCCAATCTCAACATAGGATCGAGATTCCTGGAAGATTTTAGGTTTGGATTGGAACACAAATAACCATTGCCAAGCTCATTCACTCAAATAAACAAAAATAACCCAAGTGAGATTAAGAATCGGATTAACAAAAACAACTAAAACCCAGAACAAAAAATGAAAAATTAAGCTCAAAGGAAAAGTCTTTGATGCGTACCTGAAATGGGTATTCGATTATGTAGTGAAATCTTGAGGAAAAGAAGCTGTTTCTGTCTTGGGCACCAGAGGAATTGCGCAGCGACTGCGAGAGAATTGGGGTTTTGTATTTGCAGACGAGTCAGGCAAGGTTACGAACACCATGTAAGTGGGGTTTAAGAGCCCACGGCTCAATCAACCATTCGAGATTGGGCTGGTTTTATATTTGTGAAAGAAAGGAACTGGACCGGAAAATTTTTGTTTCAATTCAATTGGATCAGGTCAAATTTTGGATTACAAAATGCAAAGCCATGATCTCAATCCAGTTTTGGATCAATTCAACCTGTCTTGGGCTAAATCTCTAATTATTTTTTTTTATTCACTTCTACACAAATTTAATATATTATATTTATATAAAAGAATAATATTTATCCGTCTTTATCTTCTAAAAATTAAAAAAAATATTATTTTAAAATTACGTCATTTTAATAAATATTTATTGAAAAAAAGTTAAAGTATCTTATTTTTAAAGCATGAATGAATGTGTTTTTTTGTTCTTTTTCCTTTTAATTTTTTTAAAACAAAACAGATAAGTACTAACCCTTTATATAAATTATCAATTGTTTATTTTTCTATCTTCAATAATTAAAATTTATCATAATTTTTTAGATAAAAATTATTTATTTTTAATAAATATGAATAAATTTCAATTACTGAAAGTAAAGATTAATAATTAAGATTTTGTATAAGTATAATGTATAAAATTTATATGTAAGTAGATCTTTATTTATAATAAAATATACAAGTGTACATAGTACATACATATTATAACAATTACGTACAAATACACAACTCAGAAAAATTTCTGAAGAAATTTGCTCGGAATAGATACAAAGCCCACAGCACCAACAACACACTTGTTGTTTTGTGTATATAGATTTTTGTTTTTTATTTCCAAAGAAAAAAAAAAAAGATAGATCAACACCACACTTGTTGTTTTGTGTATATAGATTTAACGAAAAAAGATAGATCAACCGACGGTCTGATAGGATTCATATGAGACAATGGTGATGGGGTCCAAGATTTTGCAGCCATGCAATGTTGAAGCTGCATTTCGATAAGATACATGAAGGTTCAGCTCACCTAGCTAGCAGTTTTCCTAACACACAGAATCTCATGCAATTTGTTAACTTATATGTGGGGTCTGGAATACTGATTGTTGTTTTCCCTACACTTACGTAGCATATATGAGTGAAAAAATGATTTTCTAGCTTAGATTGGACAATAAAAGTGTAATCTAACTCGAACGGCTTGCTTCGGTCAGTGATATTGAATTTTGAGTTAAGATTGTTTACTTTCAGTGGGTTGTACGTTCGAACCCCACGGAATCCTTTTTCCCTCTCCCCCAATTAATCCCGTAAATAATTACAAATTATTCAAAAAAAAATGTAATCTAACTCATGAATTTTTTAAAATGTCATTAATGAAATTCTTTTTAATTTATTTTATTAATAACATTTTAATAATTTTGAACTGGACCTCTAGGCCAGTGGTTTATTCTTGATTTTTAAATGTTTGGATTTAGTTGATTGAAAGTTTGACTTTCATTAGTAATTTGAAAAATATCTCTTATCCTCAAATTTCTCAGTGTTCAAAAAAAAAAAAAAAAATTAATAATTTCAATATTTGAATTATACTTTTATTATACGGTATGATTTGAAAAACGTGAATATCACGTATGAATCCCTATTCTATTTGACCCTACCGTCAGTTTTCTTTTTGCAATCCCATATGCAGGTCACTTTTGGGAGAAAGGGAAGTAGGGAACCCTGATTAATTCTTTTATTCGTTTCATTTTCATCCCATATATTTAATGCTTGACCAAAATCATTGAAATCTATATATGGGATTTCCATTAAAGATTCATAGACAAAGGTACATCTAATTAACCCTATTAGGGTTTTAATGGCTTCCACCAATGTACTTCCTTGGCATTTTACTTTTCTTTTAAAAAAAAGTTATTTTGTGTTGCATATGAAAAAGACACCTCTTTTACCTTTTTATTCATTTTATTTATATTTTTATGATTTGAATTTAGAATTTCTTGTTTGGAATGATGAAGAATACTACTAATCCAAACCACTTAAATTATTGGCTTTGATTTCACAGTTTGTAGCACTAAGGACCCAATAAGTTATCAAACAACAAATAGCAAAATTTTCCCCATATTTTGTCCCAATCAAACATATTTGAAATATTAGGTTGATGCTTAATGCTTTGACACTTCTAGAAACCACCATAAAGGACAAAACAAGTTGATAATTAATTACCAATAATTTAAGCAATTCAATGGTTATATTTTTTTGTTGAAAATAAGAGATATTAAGTTTGAATCGTGTAGCATGCACGTGAGATAAGATAAAAGATATTTTTGAGATAAGATAAGAGATGTAAAATAATTACCTCTCATTATACAACCAAGATAAAAATAAAAGTTGATAATTAATTAATATTAAATTATTAAATCAACTATAAACAAAAAGTAGTATTGTAAATGTTCTCTAACAAAATAATGGAATACTATTAGTTAACATTAAAATCTAAATGTAAGACACAATCCAAAATCATAAACAACTAAGCTTTCTCTTTTTCATAATTACCACAAACTTCACACAATTCCACGCACAT